ATCCTGAGTCACTTAATTTCTGATTGCCACTTGCTTGCTAGAAATGTCCAGGCACTTTCACACCCCCAGGGGAAAGCTGTTTTTGCTTAAGGCAAATAGTGGCTCATGCCCCCTTCATACTTCAGCCTTCCGAATGCGTGGCTGCTCGGTGGTCGGCCACCTGCCTCCGCCCTCGACTGGTTCCTCGCTCCTGCAGTTCCCGGTTTCACACCTGTTGGCTTCCACTTTTCACCTCCCCTGCTTCTTAGCTTTGAGATGGTAGACAGTTTGTGTTCACCTCTTCATGTCTTGATGGTTTCATCAATAAAAGGATGCCTGCCTCATGGAACCACTGGGAAGTTAGAGGTATTAGTATCTGTACAGAGTTTCACACCCACCTGGCGCAGAGTCGGCACCTGTCAGTCATTAGCTATTATGACGTTTGACCTCCCACAGCACCAGCATCTCCCACTTAGTTTCAGGCACGTCAATCCTTACTGAAACTAAATCGACCGATTTAGAATTTAGTTCCTTAGTAATTCTTCTATAGATCATGGATACATGGACTCTGTATAAAGTTTTATTTTAGGTCAGCCCTAGGTATCCAGCTCTTCCAGGTGTGATAGAATCAAAGAATGTTAAATGTGGAAACTGCTCTTCTATTCTTTCACTTCTTGAAGAGGTTTGGGGTCTCCAGATGAGAGGGCTTTGATGTCAGGAATGAAGAAGCTCGATAGGGTCTGTGCAGGGCGACTTAGGAACTCAGGGAGGAGCCCTCCCCAGTAAACTTTGGGCTGTATTTTTTATCATAAAATGGGAAGGAGTAGACAAAAGCTTCTTATCCAACAGTAGCTCTGATTGGGGAGGATGTGGAGAGGGTCAGAGAGAATGTCTCCACCTTTGTTTTTGTAAAACTTTAGACCTTGAGCACAAGCTCTGCCTCCAGCATCCACCTCACGTTCGCATTCTCTCTTGGAGGCCAGTTTTCCCATCTCCTGCACGTACACAACTCACATGCCATTCATGTAATTCTCTACGTCTCTCAAGCAGGAAGCAAGTCTTATGCTAAAGATCAGGGCTCAGTTTTCTGTATAACTTCTAGAGTCTATAACTCCTATAATTCTAGAGTCATGAAATGCTTTTCTGGTAATAATCTCACAAACCTCTTCAGAGATTAAGAAAATATGTTGTCATTATTGTATATGATATGCACATGTATACCTAGGACCTCCATGCTTGGCCACCTCCCTGCACTGACCATCTCCTTATGTTGGCCTAATTTTCATAGACCAGACATGTACGCATCAGTACAGCAGGCCTAGTTCCTTATAGGTTGGCCACCTCTGTATGTTGACTGGTTTATTACGAACCCTTGGGTGGTCATTTTACAGAGGTTCTACTGTATATGATAAAGATGTGATTTTCAAGTAAAGAATAAATCTGAATATCCTTAATGCCTATATTATATTTGCAGCATATTTTTAATTTCTTTCCATGTAGCAAGAGAGAGGTTGTTTAATTTATCTAAAATTCTTTATGCAATCCAAGACATGATTTGTCATTAAATATTACATTTGACTTGAGGATCAGTGTACATTAAAATGTAAATTGAAATTTAAATAGTGTAATGGCATCAGAAGTGGGGTGGGGATTGCCTTTAGGACCTTGTTGGGGATTCTTTTCATTTGCTTGCAGGGAAAAAAAATACATTTCAGAAAAACAGCTTTTATGTTAGACTGGGATAAGAAAGAAGCACTTCGCAGCAAATAACATACTGTGTATAAGGATAGTTTTATTCCCAGTAAATGAAAAGCCAAATTGGATATCATTGTCACAATGTATCTTCTTTTCAAGATTGGTTTTTAAAGTACTAGAGACATCTTAATGAGCTAAATAAGGATTTCAGTAGGTCATTGTGGCATATGAATCTGTTGACAGTCATCTTGCGGGGGCAGGGGAACTTTGAAAAATTAGTATCATTTTTATATCATTCATTAAATTATTGTAGTTCCACTTCAGAGCTCCTTATGCTTCTTACATTTAAACAATTACCCATTAAGAATTTAACAATTGTGTAACTGCTGTGGGCAAAGCCTCCGTGGCAGCTGGGACATTCAACTAAGAAACGTATTGACCAGAATATCTTGACACAATCTCAGTAGCCAAAAACACCAGGAAGCTATGACTTGCTTAGAGAGCACTGAGTTTTAAAGGGAAGCTAGATAAACGGAGTTTATTTATAGAGCTCCTGTGTTCTTGGAACTGGACTCACATGGGCTGATAAGAATGCTGAGTCTAGCTCCCGCCCCATACCTTCTGGGTAGGACTCTGGAGGAAGGGTCTGGGTGGCTGTGTTTGAGTCCATTATCCAGGTGATTCTGTGATCAGGAAATTTGGAGGTATCTTGCCCAGGAAAAGTGTTTCTCTGACTTTGACATGCATGCAAATCAACTGGGGTCCTACCTATTACAGTGCTGGTAGGATTCCGTTAAATTATTGGGTGAATCTGGTGTAAGGCCTGCGGTTTTATATTCCTAATGAGCTCCCTGGGTACAGAGGCTGCCAGTTGCTCCGTGGACCCTGCTCTCAGTAACAAGACTCTGGGAATGCCTTCATGAAGCATTGTTTGTGAAATGTTGATTTAATTCATCCCCCCGATTTCTTTATTTAACAGCTGGGAAAGTGATTTGCCAAAAGGTTAGGAGAGCGAAGGCTGGTGCCTGCTAGTCCCAACACTTTGGGAGGCCAAGGCCCAAGAATCTCCTGAGCATAGGAGCTCAAGACCAGCCTGAGCAAAGCAAGACCCCCAACTCTACTAAAAACAGAAATCTCAGCCAGGCCTGTGATACTCACCTATAGTCCCAGCTATTAGGGAGGGGAAAGCAGGACAATTTGAGCCCAGGAGTTGCAGGTGGCCTTGAGCTGTGATTGCACCACTGTGCTCCAGCCTGGGTGACTGAATGAGACCCTGTCTCTTTACAAACAAAGAAAAAAGGGTTAGATGATCAACCAAAGATTTCCTGGCTGATAGTAGACAGGGATCCAGAACTTTAAGTACCCACCTCTCCCACCCTTGAATGCTTTTGCTTCAAAGCTGAGTTGATTTTTTTTTTCTGTTAAACACATTTCTTGGGGGCAGGACATTATTAATACAGGAGGACTTCATGCAGCAAAGGCAGCAGGGTGCCTGGCTCATGGTACCCTCAATGACTTCCCAACAATTAAAAATAAAGAAAAAAGATGTTTAGAAACTGTAATAGAAAAGTTCATGAGTATTTCCTTGATGGAAACATTGCTTGTTTTTTTTTTTTTTTT